GTTATATTTATATTTTTATGATTTTTTATTTAAATGTATTATAACTATACTTTATTTTTATAAGAAGGATACGATTAGGACTGTACATCAAAACAAAATCACAATATAATAATTCATAACTTTCAAACTGTAACTGTAAGAGTTTTAGTAAAATGTGCGGTATTTACTTTTGCATAACAGTGTCCAAAAAAAGAAGGCCATATTGTCGATTGCAGTTCAGACTTCATTAAAGCCCCTTTTCCATTAGTACCTACTTGGATGTTAGTACATAACCACTAGGGGTGCAACGATACTCGTATCGATATTGAACCGTTCGATACAGTGCTTTCGTTTCAGTACCCATATGTATCGAACAATACAACATTTTTTATTCATTTATTTATTTATTTTATTGATTCTTTTCTTCTGACGATGCTGTCTGTGTTGAGAGCTCAGTGGATCTGCATTCGACTACTCCGCCTAGGCTGCACTATCGAGTGCAGATCCACTGAGCGCAGCACAAACTAGCAAGACAGAAGCTAAGCTAGTTGCAACATGGCAACTGCCTCAATGCTACCCGAAACTGAACCTCCCCCACCCTCATTCAGATCTGGCGTTTGGAACTATCATGGTTTTCATGTGAAGCATGACCCTGATGGTAAGCACGTCATGGACAAAAGTAAAACAGTATGTCGGATGTGCCACGCAATGCTCAATTTGTGGGAACTAGTGCGTTAGTGCAGTTAGCTTGTTAACATGTTGACGCCGTCCAGCCCCATGATCAGTGGTAGCTTGTTAACGGAGATTTGCCGCGTTATGGCGTTAATGTCATTTTAACAAAATTAACGCTGACAGCACTACTGGGGACACAACGAATATGACTGCACATTTACGCCGACAGCATCCTAGTGCAAAGACAAGTGGAAGCAGACAAAAGCAGCTGTCAATGGATTTAGCTTTTGATGAAACATCTCCAACTTACATGATACAGTCAGTGTGATGATTTTACTCCACTGTGTTAAGAAATATCCCGTTCTGCCCCGGCAGCTGTATTCTCCACCATCAGACTCAGTAACTGTGATGATTCTGTATTCATTGGATGTTGGAGGTGTGTTTAACTTGCCTTCTCTCCATTCATACGTCCACTGAGCTCCTTCACCTCCCTGAATCTCACATCTGACAGTGACTGTCTCACCACTGTATATCTGAGGCCAGTTGTGTTGCAGGATCACAGTGGTCCTAATGGGAACTGTTCGCATAAGAATGATCCAGTTAGGAGACAAACAGAAACATAAAAACTCTGCCATTAATAACATAAGATTAGAGTGACTGCAAAACAGTTGATTCACAGACAAAATGTTTAAACATGAAAACAAAGTCACAACATTACAATTTCTGTAACTGTAACACAACATTTTTTGTAAAATGTACAAGTATATACTTTGTACATGCGAGGGCTATCAGGCCCGCTATGTAGGGGTGTAGGAATGTACAAGTTGACGACTGAGAGATGGATCTGGGTCCATGACCTCCCCAGTGCAATTAACCCTGGCACCAACAACTATAAAAATGTCTTCACCTGTCTGGCTGATGCAGGTATGGAAGAGGGGCTCCAGGGTTCCAGTTCAAGAAACGGTGGCTGCCTAGAGCACACTGTGCTGTCAGACATTAACACAGCCTAGCACAATTTCCCTCTAATTGTCTATACCCAACGAGATAGTCAGGGTGCCCCTAACACAGAGTAGCGTGGGTTATAAACATCAAACAAGTTATTTTTTAAAGAACGTGAAACTTTAATTTGTTCTGCTGGCCCCTTTAAATCTCGACCATCCATCAGTCACCATGGGCTCTGAAGATCATGACAGGCATGAAACAAAAATACAAAAAAAAAAAAGACATCATGACAGTTAAAAGAAAAAACAGGTTCAATAAATTGGACAGGCGATGGTGTTCCCACTGTTGTAAAACCCTTGCTTATGCTAGCTCAGAGGAAGAGAGTTCCACAACCTGCTCTGTTTCCCTTACTCAGCCTTGCATGCTGTATAACAAGTAGGCCCTGATCACATGACCTCAGGGACCTGCTAGAGACATAGGGCTGTTACCACAAGGTTCCTGATAGATGATTTAACAAATGTCGAAAGGGACCAAGAGCATTCATGATCTTACAGAGAAATCTGTCAGATATGGCTACAAAGCACAACGCAGTGGTCCCCGAGTCTGACGGAAAGCCACAGACCGAGCAGCAGGTATATTCTTGCCTCAATGTCCACCTTTCTTGTAGCATCCATGTTGCAGCATGCTTGGACACGTTGCTATGACGACAACCACAACCAGGTTAGGGAGTACTAGATTTTTATGGAAAACCAGTCAATCCGAGTCGAGTTGTGGCGTTCCATGGTGAGTCGATCCGAGTAGGTACTAATGGAAAAGGGGCTTTTGTCTCTGGGTGACAGAGGTTATGAAAAGGCTGCGCGTTCACATACAGTTGAATGAAGTAGGGTGTTGTTCACTTTGTTCTCTGCGTCAGGTTTGTAGAATGTGCCCAAACTCAGGCCAGCAACGGGCAACACAAAGGTACGTTTTTAGATTTCGCCTGCCTTACCCAGACAGGACACTTCAGGCAATATATAGCAGACTCGACACGTTGCACACACGCACCCATATATACAGTTAACATCTTTTATTGATATTCTTGTGTTGGAATAAGTCTGCTTTGCATGATATGAACTTGGAGGTTAACAAGCAAATCAGTGTGAGTAAACTGAATGTTAATGAGTTTAATAAAAATGAACATATAAAACTTTAGATTGTCAGTCTAGAAACATACATGAAGAGAGCCTGCAGCCATGTGAATATTATGCTGCTCATTTATTTTCTTAATAGTTGATGCTAAAATGATTCAAATAAACTGAAGGCTTGTAATGATTTTTTTCTCTGAGAACCAGATGGGCTCTTTCAGAGTGCACACTTTGTCACAATGACACTGAAGTTCTTCTATTTTCTCATTTCCACCTCTCCATGTAAGAAAACAAACCGAAGAACAGCACAGATCACATAACTTGATCTGTCTCAGTTTGGCAGAAATAAAATAATTAAACTCACAAGTTTCTGTAACTGTGACGTCACTGCTGTCCTCTGTGTAGTAAACTGGATCTCCTCTCCCTCCTCTGCAGTGGTACAGACCTCCTTGTGAGACACTAATAACTCTGTTTGCTTCATTTCCTCTCATGAGCTGAGCTTTAGAAGAGACTGAATCACGTCTGAACCAGTCAAACTTCCAGCCAGCAGAGCCCTCCACAGAGCAGCTCAGTGTCACACTGCCCCCTGCTGGTATGATTGAACTTTGTGCTGTCAGTGTGGCTCTGGGTTCACTTGCTGTTGATGTTACAGGAAAAGAAAAACATTGTCACATGATTCAAGAAGAAAAGTGTTACAATAATGATCAAGCTTATAAAAACCTCACTAGATAATTTAGCTACTAGCACCAAATATGAAACAATTATCCTGCAAGTGATGAAGGAAAATTATTTGTCAAATGGTAAAAACTAAACAAATAAATAAATACAAAATTAAATAAAAGTCATCAGGTGAAAAGAATGAAGTGTGTGTTAGTTGTGACATCCGTCTCTTTAACTAAAACCTGAAGCCTCTG